TGGCCTTCACCGACCCCTCCACACATCTGCAGTACCTTCCTCAATATACACAGTAGCCTCCCAGGCCCTTCCATGAGGCTGTCTCTTCCAGCAACTGGTCTGAAGCCCCTCTGTAGTCTGGACCACTTCAAGTTTAGGTAGTGATCACTTTGGAATAAGTCCCTGAAGTGTCATCCTAAAACTGTCTCTTTTAGAATCTCAGGGCTGATTTCTTGATTCTGCTGGGATGTAGAAAGTTCTAAAGAGTGTCAGTCCTACCCTGCCAACAAGAAGAAGCTGGATTATTTTAAAAATCATTACTTTTCATGCACAAAAGAGCTGAAATTTCAAGGCAAATGATTACCCTAGAATTTAAAGGAAGACAGGAAATGTGGGCTGTGAACACTGGCTTCCCTTCCACCTACAGGCTGAAGACAAGGTCACTAAAATCAATAGAATCTTTCAAAAGTATAATCAGGTGTGAAAGGCCAAGTGTGGCCTAGTATGAGAGCATAGAATTCCTGGGAGCCATATACCTAATTGGGAGTTTAAACCCACAGAGACTCTTCTCCATGGACCTCTCTCAGGTGCTCCAAGAAAGACTGGAGAAAGCCTGCTCCAGGGGTGCAGGCACGAGCCCTGCTCTGACCACACTCCCCCAAAGAACAAAATCCTTCAACTACTGGGGAACGGCCAGCAAACCTTGTCTCCCTCAAGGCACTGGTGAAGACCTACTGAGACTGAGGATAAGAAAAAATTGAAAAACCCTTGGGTGAGGGACAACAAACCATCCTGGGTCCAGTTCATTGGTATTTACCGCTGGGAGGAGAAAGATTACTGAGAAAGTCCTGTCTCCAAAATGGAGGACCACAGGGCCTGCCTGAGATTGAGGCTAGACCAACACAAGAGAATTGTCACCAGAATTAGCAAGTTCCAGCAGGCGCATGGGGAAGGCCTAAACCTGAGGAGTGGAACAAGGCGTTAAGAAAACCCTTCAGAAAACCCACCCTAACACAAGCACGCCAGAGTAAGCACAAGCACAAGGTAACATTAAATGAATTTGAAGACAATGGTGAACTTAAAATAATCATAGCAACAACACACCCCAAGCCCTGCTTATCTCCTTACTACAAAAACTTAATTCCCCCAACATACACAACCACACACGCACTGACACACCAACACACATGCATGCTCATGTGTGCAATCAGTCTTGCAGAAGATAAGGTGTGCTCATTTCCAGGCATAAGTACTATTTACTTCAGTCTGTAGTCTCTCACACATGATGTCAAGCATTGAATTTAAAGTTGGAAACACACAAAAAATTAAGGAAAAAAATCATTCACAAGAGACAAAACAATTGACAGAACCAGATTCAGAGATAACCTAGATATCAGAACTAACAGGCTGAAAATTGAAAATAACTATATGGGAAACATACAAGGATAGATGGGAATTTGAGCAGAGAGGTAGCAAGTATAAGAAAGAAGCCATTGGAAATGTTAGAAAGGAAAGAAAAACTACTAACAGAAATGAAGAATGCCCCTCATGAATTCAGCAGTAGACCTTACACAGTTGAGGAGAGAATAAATCGACTTGAAGATAGGTCAGTATAAATTACCCAACTTAAATAAAAAGAGAAAAAGGAGTGGAGGAAAAAAACAAAGAGGACATAGCATCCAAGAGTGGTGGGAT